AAAGGTGTGTGGGTTACATACACACTACCACTTATGTCGGTATATGTCACTCAGGGGTGTGAATAAGTCACCCCCCTTAGTGACCCAAGTTACTCTGACCTAAGTACCAGTGTGGACAGTGCTATATCATCAGGAGAGCTTCTCCACTGACATAGCTACTGCCTCTCGCGGAGGTGGTTTTCTTATGCTGACAGGAGAGCTGTCTCCAGTTGGCATAGAGCGTCTTCGCCAGACACTCTACAGCAGTGCACCTGCATCGGTGGGTCATTTCCCCTGTCATGAATCCCCATAACCTGAAAGAGAGGGGGAAAAACTGCAAACCCTTACAAAGGAAGGGATTTGAAGTGAAGGACATCCAAAAACTCAGGGCCAGCCTGTAGGCAGAGTGTGGTATGTGGAAGGCTCAATTCTCTCTGTGACAGAGGGTATGCTGAGAAACTGTTCAGAGGCAATGGTAACTTATATTAGAAAATGGAATTTAGCTAATATGGAAATGTAAAGCCTGAAGTTGCATCTTTGTTTGTTTTCTGTGTAACTTGTATGTGTTTGCTTTTTCTTCCTATTTCATCTTTGAATCTGACTTTTTTTTTCTATCTGGGGGGTTACTTTTACACCAAGCAGGTATCTGTTGTGCAAACTATGTGGAGTGTATGTGCCAAAGTGAACTGATAACTGGGAGCAAGTTTCACTACTTCAGGGATGAGGAACCAGAAGGGAAAAGTCTGAGCATCTGGTAGATAAAAATGCCTGGTAGACTGTTTTGGGGAGACTTGGAACTGGGAGGACTTTTGGGATCACCCTGCAAAGAGTAACTAGGCTGGTGGAATCCACAGCGAGACCTTTATGTTTGTAGGTTGGTTACTGGTGTCAGGGCTCTGAGCTATAGCAGCATATCATTAAGGCACCCAAGGTAGGAGGTCAGGCAGTGGCAGAATCCATAACATTGTATACAACCAGTTGATTCACTTGCTTAGTCTTTGGCATTCAGACCCCCTGTACTCCCCTTGTGGTGTCTGTACCTTGATATCACAGGAGGACTTCTATGAAAATTTTGGAGAGACCAGGACCTTGTGCCTCTGTCACTGGGAAGACCTGTGCAGCTCTTAGGACTTCCTTTCCAGTTATCCATTCCTTCACAGATGTCCCATCTGATTTGGCTGAAGACAAAGTCTTTGGAAAAAGAAAGTTCAAGTTTAATCCAGTCTTTTCCCTTCTCTTTATTACCTTATATGAGTGTGTGTGTACAATTACCTCTTCCTCAGAAGATTTCAGATGTTTTCAGGATTTTCTTGGGAGCATGACAAAGTCTCTGTGTCTTGAACTCTTGACAGTCCAGGAGAAGACTTGCTATCTAACATTTTGAAGTTGAGATGAAAAGAAGAAAATCGCCATTCCAGTCAGTGCCTCATGAAGGCAGCTCAGGGCTTCTGACTTACTTCTGTCTGCTTCTATACCTGTGGGGTCCTGTTGAGCAGAGATGATGTAGCAAGTTCTTTTAATGTGGATCTTATTAAATTTCTTGGACATGTTGCCTTGAATTTTTCCAGCATCTGCAGAAAAATCAAGGAGAGATGAGTCCATGCTACAAAAAGAAATTAAATTTAGCTGTAAAACGTCATATTCATCGGCAACACCTCATATGAGAATTTCTAATTACACACATTGCTGCCAATCTACAGATCGTATTTGTGGAACAAGAGTCTCTCTGCACCCAAATCCCTCCACTAGAATGTTCTCTGTATGTGAGGCGGGAGGAATCCAGGATGATTGTTGTAGAAGGCCAAATATGGTCCAAAGAGCTCCATATGTTGTTGGTTTGTTTGGTGGAGACTACAGTTAGTATCTGCCATTCAGACCTGAGACTTCTGAGCTTTCCCCTGAGGTCTCCAGTCCAGGATACAGGATTTGCCATTCCAGTGCTTTAACCTGTTCAGTTTAAAGATGGCTATTATAATGGAAAAACTGTGGGTCTCTAGAAGACCTAAAGATCAAAACAAATCTCATCTAGAAGCCACTCCACATCAAACTCTTATCCCGTCCTCCCTCTCCCCCCCCCCCCACGCCAGGGATCCATTACAAAACATTGAATGTCTAATGTTTCTGAAGGCAATAGATGAGAGCGGTTAGAAGAGTATCAGAGAAACAGGTTCTAGTCTCCTTATTTCCTTATTCTCAAGGCATAATCAAGCCTGGTGGAGAGAGTTTGTGGGGTGATATGATGCACTAACATATATAACTAGGGATTCTGGGAATCGGTTACAGAATTATCTTCGACTATGAACGTTGGAAATACTGCTCTCACCCTCATTTATAAACCAGCCTAAGGAAGCCAGTTGACCAATAAATTACAATCCACATGTTTACTTCTTCACTAAAATACTTGCAACACTGCAAATCCAAATAGCAGAATACATTGCACAACATCTTATTCTTCTAATGAGAACTTGATTTTCTTTTCTTACATGCTAAAGATCAGACATAAAGGCTGAGCAGCATAGTGCATCAAGAAGCTGTTCAACCTACATTATTGATAGAATAATTATGTATATTGTTTAAAGAGTATTTTGAGAGGAGCTAGGAAACCTTCATAATGCATCTCCAGCTTCTGAGTAGCATTTTGAAAAGACAGGGCCTGTGATTTAACTCTCATTTCATTTTAAAGACTAATATGAATGTCAAGCCATTTGTTTTGTTTTCTAGATTGCATCTGGTCGCTTGGTAACTGTAGAAAGTACACCTTCTGAATTAACTGGAGGGCCTCTGGCTGACACAGACCTTGCTCTTAGAAAGCTCTCTGTTCGTGGAGGAGCCTTAAAAAAGATCAAAGGAGTTAAAGTGTTGGACCCATTCAAGAAAGATTCAGTATCTGTAAAGTAAACATTGTCCTGTACTGTTTCAGACAGTGCTTTGTATTTTTTAGTTAATATATTTCCAAACATCATTTGTAAGATATAATCTATTTGTATTTCTTTGGTTAAATATATAGAAGATCTTGATATTATTATAGATGAAAATATATTTTTGCTTTACAAAAAATGAACATTCCAATGTTCATGAATAAAGAATTCCATGCAATATGTGTTCCAGAGGTTCATTGATTCTGATCATTGAAGCCAGCTGTGCTAGGCTCAGTTTACCCTGACTCAATAGCTGGCTGGATGTCCCTCAGTTTCCCCTGTTGGTACCATAAAGTACACAAACTTCAGAAACCAGTTGTCAGCTTCCAGGTGCAGAGTGGCCCACTAACTCTCCCATGCAAGTGAAGATACTCTAGAATATCCTGCTCTCCCTAGATTTTTCAGGCCTCCACTGGTCTTATTCCATCAGTTCCTTCCCAGACAATTGCCCAAATTCCCTCTTGGCAGAGAATTGTGCCAGTCCCACCCGAGCCTCTTTGGAGAGACCTCCCTAGCCCCACTGGTCCCCTGCATGAGCCACAGTCCTTTTTATATGAAGTGGAAACAGCTCAGAGGCAGCATATGAGGTGACCTGAGCAAAGGCCAGTGTTTTGGGGCCCTAACCCCTTACACATCCAGGTCTCCTGTGCCACTGATTGACCTTGCAATTTGTAGCTATCACAACACTGCAGCATAAATTGCTTTAACTGTGTATAGAGTCTGTCTTTCCCACCCAAAGGGGAAATACAAACATTCACTGTGTAAAGGGGTAAAGGAAATTAGAAAAAAAACGTGTTTACTTCTCTAGAACTTAACCACAAATTAGTCCCTTTGTAATTCCTAGGAAGAGTTTTTTCTGTGTGTGCTTTTCTTCACAATCCAGTGGTTGTGTTTTGAATGGAAAGAATTTATAAGGTGCTGTAGGCAAAAATGAAGACAGACATTTGTTGACATATCCTACTTTAATTCTATATAAAGAAGACTGCAAAGGAAAAAATGACAAAATCATGTACACAACACCATTAATTGTAATTAATCCTCTAAGACCTCTCCACCTTCCCTTGAAGTCAGTCACAGTTTCTCATATGGAGAGGCAGTAAGCATGGGCCCAAAATGTTACTTTGTAAAGCATGAAAGCTATCTATAATTTTAGTGAAGATTATTTCAGTTGAACCATGACAATTTACAGCACCTGAGGGTCTGGCTCCTTGCTGGTTGTTGGTGTTTAACCTACATCTGGCTTGTTTAGTTTATGTTTATAAGATTTTTTTTTCCCAAATTTCCCCTGCAGAAAATTTTAGCCATGCTTTATTAAAGAAGCATTTCTTTGCTTTCTGTATGCAAGGGTGACAAGTATTTTAATCTTTATTTGTGGAATTTATAAAGGAACTAAATGTAAGCATCTCTGCCATTTCTGACATGCTGTCACTGAGAAGTTAATAGAGACTAGGTACATCAGGCATAGTCAATAGGCAGACCATAGGCCAAATCCAGACTGCCAGATGCTTTTGAATAGACTGTGAAAGCTATTTACTTATTGTTATAATTATTACTGCAGTGTCAAAAGTGTTTCTCTGGCATCTGGACCTTAACTATACCTCAGTCAAGAAATTTGGACCTTGACAAAACATAATTGACTACCTCTGGTGTCTATGGTGTTAATTTAACAATGAGGTTACCCTTTCAATAGACTATCCGCTTAACACCTTGCATGTCAGTAAATGCCCTGTTCAATCAATTCATATTACTGTAATTTCATGACTCTTCATGCATGATGCTGACTCATAGAATGGCATGATATGTGAGTAGAAATCCAAGTGCTGGGTTAATAGAAAAGCATACTCCATTTTTCTTTTTTAAATAAATACTTGTATAGAAGAATTAAGGTTGCATTTGAAATTTATTATTTGCCTCTGGCACTCATTACTGCTAGCTGCTGAGCACCTGCCAATTTTTCAAAATAGATATGTGTTTAAGATACATGTACCATTCTCAACTCCCACTAGTTAGCTGGGCAAAAGTTATGTTAATACACACAGCCATCTCACCGACTTTTTTTTGAAACATAAGACCCTACCCAGTTGCATCTTCCATTGAGCCTGTATTGCAAATGCCCTGCTGTATTGCTACTGTAGGAATTACCTACAGAAGCTCTTATTAGTTGCTCTCTTTGAGTGATTGTGCACATATACACCTGTGTGTGTGCCCAAGAGTTTTACCAGCAATACCACTAGGTAGCACATGCAGCCAGGTCCTCCCAGAGGTCCAGAGAGGCCTGGGTCACTTCTAGCTTTTGAGGCCCCTAGCGATAATAAAAATAAGAAATGACGACACATGAAAACAAAATAAGGCACCAAAAAAAGAGTGAGACATAATTTGAATATTTTTTAATTTAACAAATACTTTTCTAGCCTTTTTCTGTGCAAATGCACTAATTATTGAGGGGGGGAATCTAACTTTCATGCAATGTCACAGTGGATATTAAGCATGGCGAGCCTGTTGCAAAATTCCTCTAGTCTACATAGTTATAGATAGCAATATTTAGTGTAGTATAGTTATAGTATAGGTACCCTGTAGATTTTTTTTATGAAAAAAATCCCCAGATTTCAAGCTATGTGCAATGTGAAAGATAGTGTTCCCTGTTGCAGATAGGCACAACAGCTGCTTGATTTGCCTCACTGGGGGCTGTGTGAGGGACAAATGCCCTATTTGTACCTCCTTCCCACCATGACAAAAAAAACAGGGATTTCTGCCTCAAAGTTCACCTTATGAAAGAGGCGATGTGTCCTGCATTAGAACCAAACCCCAACCAGAAGGCAGCAGATTCAGAGTCCATAAGGAGCTGCCCATGATTCCAAGCATAAGTTGGGGGAGAACCATCGTCACCATATTCGGAGATTGGATTAGCTTGCAAAAATACAAACCTGGGCTGGCATGTTATCCATCCACTTGTCCTAACAAGTACTTTACCTAATTACTGAAAAGGGGGGGGGGGGAATCGCTACACCTGTACTGCTAAAAGGTATGTCTACACTGCAACATAAGCCCAGGGTTAGTGGGATGTGAGTCCATGGACCCAGGGTTTTTAAGCCCAGGGATTGAGCACCCACACTGCATATTGACACTAGCACACAGGAGCTCCAGCATCCACAGTGCAATATGCAGACCTGAGTCCAACCAACTATTTCCCAGGCTTCCTCGCGCCCTCCTGAAATGTGGTTGCTCTAGCCCTTTGTTCATCGTGCAGTGTCAGAAAACGTGACTGTCCACCCTGCACATTCCAGGAAGTTGTCACAGCCCACCAAGTTCCCAACAGATCCTGCCAAGCCATCTTTTGGGGCTGCATACTCTCAGCAACCAGAGCCAGCCACATGGAGGAGTTGCCAGTTGAAGAGTTTCTCTTGATTGGTCTTTAACTCCTGTGTCAGGAAACAGGCAGAGATTCCATGAGATGCTGGTGGATATTTCAGTGGCATCTTCTGACCCACCAAAGGTACCTGACAGAGCAATAGGAGGAAGAGGAGGATGACAATACAGATGTGGAAGCCTCAAACTGGCTGATGTTGCTCATGACTTTTGATATAGCCACTGATCCCCTGCTACTTAGACTGGTACTTCTGGAGCAGGGCCACAAGCACAGACCAGTGAGATCACACCATCCTGCAGACCTGAGATGACCAGCAGTGGATCCAGAACTTTTGCATGAAGAAAGCTACATTTCTGGAGCTTTGTGAGCAGCTTGCCCCGACTTTGTGAGCAGCTTGCCCAGCATCATAGTGCATGCATGAGGAGATGGCCATATCGGTCCAAAAGAGGCTTGCTATAAGTGTTTGGAATGTGGCTACACCAACTGGCCTATTGCTAACCAGTTTGGTGTTGGAAAGTCAACTATGGGTAAAATGGTGGTGGAGGTTTCTCAGGCAATCTGGTGTGTGATTTACCCAGAAGTGGTGGGCGTAAACAATATCCCGGAAGTAATTGCTGGTTTTGAGAGAATGGGGTTTCCAAACTGCGCCAGGACCACTGATGGGACTCATGTCTATAATTTGCCTTTCTCAGGGAGTAAATGAGTATATGCACCGCAAAGGGTACTACTCAATTATGATGCAGGCCATTGTGGACTACAGAGCCAATTTATGGATGCCAACATGGGCTGCAGTGGAAAGGTTCATGATGCCAGCGTTTTCTGCTGATCAGGAGTCTATCTTCATGGACAGGTTGGGACACTATTCCCACCACATGACATTGTCATAAATGGAGTTACTGTCCCCACTGTTATTCTGGGGGACTCCACAGATCGCCTTTTGCCCTAGTTTATGAAACTACAGCCTGATCTCAGAGCTCCTGGCAAAAGAAGGTTTAATTACACCCTCAGCAGTTGTAGAATGGTGACTGGATGTGTGTTTGGCGGATTGAAATCCCACTGGCACAGTCTATAGACCCATTTGGATTCCAGTGTCATCAAGGCTGTCTGCATTACTGTGACTTGCTGTGCTCTGCACCATCCTGGGGAAGCCAAAAGTGAGCCGTTTGCTCCTGAATGGGCCCAAGACAGTCATGGATTGTTGAACCAATACTCAACCAGAAATACACAGTATAAGATGTGATGTAGTGATGAAAATAAACTCTCTTAATAAAATAAAAGACTTTATTTGTCTTACAAAAATAACAATATTAAAGCATGGCCAGGCAGGCCAGCTGCCTTTAGAACACTGGAACAGTAATAAACCAACACCACAACCAGTAATAAAACAGAGCATCAACCAAACTCTGAACACTGAAAACAGTCCCATCAATAAAATCCCCTAATTTTGCATGGCCCCTGGCATGTTCTCCTTTCCCTTTCTTCTGTGTTTAGCATGTTCTTGCCACCCCTGCACAGGTGTGGAGGCTTGCTCCCCAGACTACAAGGGGGAGGAGGTCAGCTTGGGGGTGGAAGTATGCTGAGGATGGGTTGGCCCTGTCCAGCTGTTTTTGAGTCCAGATTGCATCGGCCACCGAGCCATGGAATTGTTCAAAGTGTTCCTGGTATGCAGTGCATGGTACAGCGAAGGGTGCTCTGCCTATGGTGCAGGAGGAGCAGGAGCCTACACTCTCGTGGCCGTTAGCAAAACCAGCCGCCCAAACAGGTCTTTCTGCTGGGCTCTGTCTTTCTCCTTCAACTAACATTCCTGTTCCAG